GCACACCTTAAACTCTGTGGAATAATCTAGTCAATATACAGTATTGTATATAATATACAGTATGTATAGCTAGTATGGCTAGAATAATATTCAAGTATCAGTAATGTTATGACATCATAATAAAAGCTGCTGAGGCTAACTTCTAAACAATAAAGAACAATGTGTAATTTAACTCCAACTAACAGTTTGGTTGTATCACTAGTTTTGTGTGTTATTAGCCTCTGTCACATCTCCAGATCAGCTTTTTCAGGCAGAAAAGCGAAACAGAGAGGCCCACCATTTGACTCTGGCCAAAGAGTCAAATAATGACTCAAAGGGCTCTTTCTGACAAGTATGTAAAGATATTTGTTTTTAATAGAGAGAGAAATATAGACGGCATGCTGTGTGATGTGTTCACAATATTTTACTTTTGACACCTTACCCTAACCCTAACCCTAACCCAAAAACAGAATGCTTTATTTATGGGGAAAAAAGTTAGATACCCCAGCTTTGAAATAAAATTAATTAACTAAAACTCTCTGGATAAAAAGTCAAGAATATACTTGAGTACATTTGAAATGAGAGTAAGTGGTCTGTTAATGATTAAAGACAAGGTAGATGGTGCTATTAGAATGTCAAAGATTAATTTTCTAAATTTTCTAAAATAGATATAGCCTTTCAAAAAACTACTTTGAAATGTTTTACTTATGGCACTTAGCTTTTATTGTTTAGTATTCAGGAAAAACAATCCCCCTCTGGTTTTCATATATGCTGCAATTGTATTTGTTTGGCTGTAACTGCTCTGGGACCAGTGTTGGTGTGAAAACATCTGTATTCCACATCAGACCTGAGCTTTTATAATTCATCACAAGGAGAGCAGCAGACTGACACCTCCTCCTCCTCCTCTTCCTCCCCCACCTGTGAGAGAAGGAAGGGGAACTGCACCCCATCACCACGGCTCACACCCGCGCTCAGACCAGGGGGGAAGTGGATGTCTCTACTAATTCAATTCTATATATTTTGGTTATGGGTCTAAAACACAACAGCAGTCGTCTTGCCAACAACAGATTAAAAGTACAAGCACAAGAAATGAAATGGTAACAAACACAGAGCTATTGGTCACAGCGAGCAGGATGACCAATGTAGATAAATGATAATAAATGTCCTTAAATGTCCTGGATCATCACAGACCTTAGACCTTTCTGCATCAACAAGGGAACAACTTAAAAAGTGAATCAGATTGTAGAAAGAAGACTAATTATGGGAAGCAAACCAGCTCGAAACGAGGACCTGAAACGAGTCCCTGGCAAGTCAGTTTTACTTGTTTTCACATGGATGTACTTTTTGGAATCTGTCACAACTTTACAGAGAAAAAGAGAGGACCCTTACTCAGCCAATAAGATCCCAGCCTGAAGCGTCAACCGATGACTCTTTCCTATAAATATGCCTGAGATAACCTGTTTTCTAATAAGATGAAATAGTAGTAATAATAATAATAATATTTTAGTCTGATTCATTGATTAATTCATGGGACTATTCAAATGTACCCCAGCTTTAAACTGATGTTTGATATTAATATTATAGACACATAAAACCTAAAAGCAAATCCCATACTCTCTTTCACCCTCTCTCCTTTTCACATTCATTCCGTATCTCATTCTTCCATCTTCCCTGGACCCAGTCTTTGTATCTTTCCTCCAGTTATGGTTTTCTTCTTGACTGACACTTCCACTGAAACCCAGTGGGACCAACCACTACCTGTACAAAAATTGACAAGTGCCGCGTTACTGCCGCATAAGCCAAAAAGAAGTCTCTAATTGGTGGCAGATCTAGCAGTGTGGCAACAGTGTGGGCTAACACGGACTGGGTTCCTTTGCGCTCTCACTACAATGGCTCTCGTTAGTATTGGGGGGTATTGACGGGGGCTTTAGGTGACAAGTGCGAGAGCTGCCAGTCCATGAAAGGCCATCATTTCTGGTCGCTCTCATTATCTGGGTCACCTCCACCAAGACAGAACCAGACAGTCATGTAAAAGAGAGCAGCAAGTTTGGAGTAAGTCGGTCTGATACTTTCTCAGGTGCTATGCGAGTCAAAATAAGAGACAAAATAAAAGCCAGAACAATTTCATGTTGTAGTGATTGTTTGAACGTTCCTCTGCATTTGACCCATCCTGTAATGCCGTTAGAGACTCGGCTTGGTCAGGGCCAGAGTTTACAAGTGAAAATTTGATGAATCTAAATGTAAGGATCATGTTTCTTAAAGTATGTCATACTTCAAGTCATATGTACATCTTTAATATGTATCCCCAGATAATGAACATATACTTATGGGCCGGTTTTGAACAGTATATAGTGGAGTTATTCTTAATTAAACTTACAATGGGCATCATGTATTAAAAATAAATCAGGTACAAAAGGTTACATATGTGTATACAGTTTGTAATACAGTTTATACTGACTTAAACCCCAACAATGGTTGATTGAATCTGTAATCACTGCTAAGGAGCTACTGTACATGTGTCCTGTAGGCAGTAAGATTCAGGCAACAAAGGTTGGCTTGCATTGACTTTGTTTGACCCAGTAGGAGTGCAGACTACATATTAAGTAAGATTGTGGCAAGATCAGCGATGGGCTTGACTTTTAATTGACTTCAAATGTTACAACTTCAAAAGCCCATTTAACTCAACTTTGCCAACTCGAACGCAGCATTTGCATAAACATTACCTGAGCCCATGTGCAGTCCACCCCAGTCCCCTTCTTCTCCCCACACTGATCAGACAGACACTGAACTACGCAAACCCACGTGCATCCCTCTCTCCCAAAATATTCATGATTCAGGAAGAGCTTTAAATTTCATCAAGTCTCCGAGCCCTCCGGCCATATCCGCTCTCTTTTCCCCCCTCCCCACCGCGCGCCAAATGTCACATGCACCAGCTAAACTTTTATTATTTACAGGTTAACATCGCAACACCCAGCGGGAGCAGAGATACGAGGCTGGGAGAGGGAAAATCAATGATAAGTGCAGGGCTACGATATATGCGTACGTCTGGCGCATGTAATATTAATGGGCTGAAGGGGAAACGCTGCGTGAATGTTTGTCGCACGTATTGATATGAGAGTTTGGTTGCTCTGGGGCGAGGGAGTGTGCAGCTGTCACATATATCCTGTGCGGTGGAGAAGGAACAGGTTTGCGCAGTCCCTCGTTCCAACATCTCATTGCCTTTTTAGTTTAGTTTGTTTTTCCCTCGTTCAAAGCGGCTCCTCCCAGAGGACAGGTTTTAGACTCGTATCATATCTGGAGCGGTGATAAACCCGTATTTTTAACTACATCTTTGGTTTAAGCTGGTATAGCTAACTTTAGAGCTACAACAGAACAACTATGTATATATTCCAACAGACTAGTTCTTTGCTCTAAAAAAACATTTTGTATCAATAGTTTTCACACACAGTTCTGTAGATAAGCTTTTTTCAGATAGAAAAGTGAAAAAAGAGAATCACCCTCACTCATCCAAAAAGCTCTCTGCCCAAAGTGACAAATAGTGAATTTGGTTCTTTCTTTTGTATGCAAGAGACAAGATACATGTTAAGATGAAGTCGGTCCTATAAGCTAAGCATGGCAGGGCTTGGTTTGGACTGAGATGGGAACTCCAGGTGCCACAGTGGGGCAGCTGCGGCTGTAAAGTGTTTATGTGTAACATTGCTGCCACTTTGGACAGTTCAATCTGGAGTGACCAAGACAGACACGTTAATGCATTTAGAAAGATTTATTTTTTGGCGCATTGACCCCGGCAGTGATACTTGCAGCGGGGAGATCATTGCTGTTGAAAGGATCTCAGATCCCCCGGGGTCAAGCACTGGTGGTGGCTAGAAGCATGGTGTGAATGGGGCGTAGGCGAAGCAGGAGCCAGAGCAGGATCCCGAGGAGGTGCTGGGGAGGCGGTGGGTGTCAAGAGCTTCAGGAAGGGCTGGTTAGTAGGAAGTGGCTACTTTTAAACTGCCGGCTTTGTTGTCAGTGGTTGGCAGGGGGGCTGGCCGAGCTGTGCGATTGGGTGAGGCTCGAGGCTGGCAGAGCTGTGTGAGGTGATAACTGCGGCATGCAGGTCTTCCCAGTCTGAATTTGCGCTTAAGCTTCATGACTCCCTATGTTTTTAATCTCTATGGGATTTTTCCTGGTTAAGTGAAGGTTTAATAAAAAATGTGCCAAACTGTTGTTGTATCCTTAGGCAAGACACTTCACCCACATTGCGTAGAATGAGTCCGGTGTGAATGGTTGGTGATGGTCAGAGGGGCACATACAGACGGCAGATACGTGTGGCCTCGCTTCTGTCAGTGTGCTGACAGAAGCAGCTGTGGCTACAATCATATTTTATCTCCACCGTGTATGGAGTGAATGAATAATGAAATGAAAAATGTGCTATATCAAAGCGATGCATTTGCAATCAATTAAAGTCAAGGCCCATTATGTGAATAAAATCTGTCATTTAGGTATATGACATATTATAGCAAATTGTGTAAATATAAATTGCCCAGTAATCATTGGCATTGTAACTTCAATTAGACTCAATATATTTGTACAATTACAGCAAACACATAGGAGCCATTGGTCCATAGGGAGCGGGATAACCACTGTTGATAGATGATGTTCTTATTTGTTAATAAAGGTTCTTAAATGTCCCAGATCAAAGAATGACTCGTGGGAAAAAACTTATAACTCTGGGAGGCCCACAATGAGAGTGGGATCCACTCCTACGGACAGACTGGTTGTAGATCCAGGACTCGGGCTATAGAACCAGGACTGAGGCTATGTGGTGCAGAACTCATGTGGGAAGATATTGTTTCGCTGCATGTTTTGATTAGCCAACACTCGTAGAAAATTGTGGGTGCTTTGAACAATGGATGTCCGTGGTATCTTTCTGTTCGCACATACACCTACTCAGAGGAGCCATATTTCCTCCCTGTTGGCTATCACCATGCTCCCAGCGTAACGTTCTCCCCCGTCTCTCCTTGTGCCGGTGGACGTGAATGCTGGCTGATAATCTCCCGTTCGATGACTTTGCACATAAGCTGAGTGTTATTGTGTTAGCGCTGGCCTACACACCAGATGTCCAGGAGTTGTTTCTCGTCTCACAGGGAGGAGAGGCAGTGGGCGTTGGGAGTGTGGGTGGTTCCAGCAGGTTCGGCGTAGTGACGGGAAATGCTTGGATCGGTAGACCGGGATCCGTCGGATACAATCGAGATGTGGAGCCACATGGAAACCAGGCGAATGTGAGAAAATAACCGGACGGTGGAACTGTTGGACACATCCCAGCAAGTGTGGTTAGCAACCGAGTTTAGAATGCATTTCTTAGACTTATAAGTTAAACAAGAAGCAGCTTACAATAAAGATGTGTCCTTTAAAGCTGGAGTTCAAAGCTTTGAAGCCACTAAATTGTTGTTAAATCAATGTTGCTTTTTTGGTCTCTGTCAGCTTATTCAGACAAAAATATGAAAGAGAACAACCCTCACTGAGTGGAATGATCAAATTAGTGACCCTCTTTAAATGATTGTTCATCCCATACATACAACAAAAATAGTTATTCATATTGTTTAACCAACATTATTGACTTGAATATCAGAAATATAAAGAAACCCTGCTCTATGATTTTTCAGTAATTTGTTCTTGCACTCATTTGTTACGTTGTGCATTGCTATGATAGTCTATGAGTCTTGTCTAACGTATTCTACAATTTAAAATCTTGATACAAAATTAAAAAATTTCCACTTGCAGACCCAAAACACATGGCTGTTTTATAGTCCATGAAAATGACACTGACACACAGTAGAATATACTGTATAATAGCCAGGGTCAGTTATGGCTCCTTGTTTGGCCTTCCACCTAATGAACAATATTTTCATATCAAACCAGTCTTTAAACCTGAGCTGATTAGACTTTAATACATAGCTTGTTGTTGTATGCTCTCTATACCCGTTTTGTTTATATTTACATGTTGTTTGGCTTTGTAGTGTACCTGTAGGTTTGAAATATAAAAACAATTATTCTAATAGCTCTATCTTCAGTGCAGTCATTTTATTGTCATTGCTATTAATCATTATTATTGTTGTTAGTGTAAGTCCTGGTTTATGTATAAGAAGTTTTTTCTTTTCTTTCACATACCTTTATGAGCGTCTGTTTTGTCTGTAGTATTTTGCCTGAAAAGGAAATTATAGCTTAATATTTGAACAGCGTGACAAATGAGATTGTTAGTGTGTCACATAATAAAAACCAATATGCAGAGAAATAACACATTATAATGTATTTCCACTTGAATGGAATTATCATATACATTTAAAATTGTACTTTTAAATGTATTTGACATATTTAATGTTTATCAGATCTCTGGCCTATATTCTGTCTCTGAGCGTCTTGTCTCCAGGTGACTCATCCAAACTGCCAACATTTGCATTTACTAATTAAATTGTCAGGGGCCATTTTTCCCCAACTCTGTTCTTGATTAAAACTAATATTAATCATTTTAATTAAGTCGAATAATAATTAAAATCCTATCAATCTTCAATTATTGCTCAGTGAAGTTTTAAATATGGCAACGACTGAACGGTTGCGTGCTCATTTCCTCAGAGCGGTGGACCTGTCTGAGGCGGCTGCGGCTGCACAAGGAGGATTCAGGCTAATTATGCTTTAACTTTGGGAAATACTTAGATTTGCCAAGTTAAAGCTACTTTTAATTTCCTTTACATTCACAACAAATCTGTCTGAGCTCAACAATATTGTTTGTCACTTTCAGAATTGTGTATTTAATGATGTGTATCTGCTGTGGACATTTCTCCTGCGGGGATCAATATCTACGGACAATGCTACTTACATGCATTTTATCAATATTTTTAATGGTTTCTAAGTTGGATCCTCCAGATTGAACTAAACATAAACCATACTGTACATACACATTTTTATGTCTTGTTATATAATGTTGACAGGGTGGTACCACAAAAAAATCTTTCACACAATGTTGGTTGAATAATTCTGAATTGTGATGTTTCTTCTCACAATATTTTTACAACATTCCTAGAACAAACTATTTCCGATGTGTCTGCAGAAGCTACACCCATCTCTGAACCTTGATCCTGTTACAGACGATGTGTTTTGCTATTACGAGCTTCAGAACTCTCATAAAAACAGGAAATATAAAAATAAAATATTTTTCTCTCCAGAAATGTTTTTTTGACATATTCGTAGTAGTATTCCTCTTATGCACTTATTGCCAAGCCTTTCTCTTGTTTACGGTAGCGTCCATAAGCTTCATCTCCCTTTGTGGTTTAATTTAAGTCCTCTTTTGTTGACTGGGCTCTCTGGATGTAGTAGCACTAAAAATAAAGCCATGTTTGTCTGGAGACAGCGCTGTGTAAAAATGCACTGTGAGCATGTTTTTTTATTTATTGGTGAGTGAATTACTGATATGTGTATCTTAAGTCAACATGTGATGGCAAAGCATCTTAAGAAAGCACAATGAGTAAATTACAGTAACTGTATGAGCACTTTTAGCTGAGATTGATAAAATGTTGTTGATTCAGCTGAAAAATACTAGAGATAAAATAAATAGTTTCTGTTTAAAAACCCCGGCATTTTGTCATGCTTCACATTTCATATCCACTACTGCTTTTGATGGCTGAATGGTTAGCACTCTCGCTTCTCAGCTAGAAGGGCCAGAGTTCAAATCCTCTGGATTTTCCCTACCACTAAAAACATATACAATAGGTAAAGTCCCCCAGCTCTGTTTGTCCTGACCAAGCAGAGCAGCAACATCAGAAGATGTGTCCCTGGGTGCAACCACTGCATCCTCCAAAGCCTGCACGCAATGGAGGATGGGTTAAATGCTAAGGAAGAATTTCCCTATGGGGGCAATAAAGTCTAACTCAACCTAACATGCAGAGAGGGCACCGTATGCTTCATTGCCATGATCAAAATGATCAAAAATACAAGCATGGCTTTTCCTGTGCCCCTAAATGCATCTGCTGGTCTTGTCTAAGTTAAATTGGACTGGGAAAGGTTGTCACTGTGTAAACATTCTTCTGTTACTGTTGACAAATATGAAAATCATTCAGTCGAACTAGATATTTGAATTCAGCAATGTAGACCCCAGCTCCATCTATTATTTTACACATCTAGCTATTTCAAAAAGGAGTGGGCCACAATCGATTAAGCTGTAGAACATCTCCAGCTCTGACTATTCTCCCATTCGTCTTTTCCAGGGCCCATGCAGGAGACTGTGTTCGACTTCTGGCGGATGGTCTGGCAGGAGAATACCGCGGCTATCGTCATGGTGACCAACCTGGTGGAGGTGGGGCGGGTGAGTGCCGGCATCTGTCCTGGCAGCACATCTGTCCCAGGATCAGTCATGTCACACGGGATTACACCAAACACACGGGCGATCAAAGCAACACCTGTTGGATTGTAGAAATTGAGGCAGATCTGTGCTTTTCTTATTGCTGTGCTTTATTTTTGTTTGTAACAGAATGAGTCTTATCTAACTAAACTATTTGAACAAATCAGACCAAAATGTTCTGTCTTTATCTTATTAGAAAACATAGTGCCTCTGCTTGGTATAATTTCACTCCAGCTGAACAAAGTGGTAGAGATCACCAAGCATACGTTCTGCTTTCGCCACAATTACCAAAATGAGAAAGTCTGGGGAGATTTAATCTTGAGAAAAATTGCATCTCTCTGCTTCCTATATACGTCAAAATAAAGCAAAAAGGGTACCAGCCTTTCCATGGAGCAAACAAATCATGATATCAGACAGCTTCCGCAAAAATAAACTAAAGCGCATGTGTGACTTGCCTGGCAAGTGTGCACTTTTGTTTTTCTTTTTTTTACAAGATGAAGACAGAGTATTATGGTCTGATTTGTTCAGATCATCTTTCTATTGAGACAAAGAACCTGTAGTATTTGTATTGGAAGAAAAGCTTAAAGACCTTTATTCACATTTATATCATAATTCCTGATTTATAATGGCATACTCCGTTGGTGTGTACTTTTACCCTTGCGCAGATGTTCTTTGTACTCGTGCGGGCTAGTGTTGTGCGCAGACAGCCGTTTTTCCGTCCCATGATCAGAGAATCGCGGACAGCAGAGAGTGATGGATGGCCTTCATTAAGACTGGGGCATCCAGGCGTCTGACTCGTGTTTCATGTGAGCGGCTCCATAACTGCACATTATACAGGACAGAGACCAGGCCGATGGCGGGGCCCCGAACGGGGGAAATGCCATGTACCCTTTAGGATTTGCATGTTTTCCGTTACATATAGTCACTGTTTATTGTGATGTGGTTTAAACTATAATCGTCTACTTGAACCTTTCATTATGAGATAACATTAAAACTGGGGTGTCTCCCTCTTAAACCACATAAAAAAAATACTATACTAAACCTGTTTGGTTTTATCACTTGTTTTCACGTGCATCTTTGGATCAACTTTTTCAGACAGAAAAGTGGATCAGCTCTCAGCCTACATACTACTGGAGAATACCTTTTTCCAATAAAAAGTGGTTTGTGTCAGATGTTACGTTTTCAGACTCTTTCTGACGAATATGTACTGTAATGAATAATGAAGCCTTATTGAAATAATATTATGATTTTCAACCCGAGAGGTCTAGTAATATATATGGATCAACAAATGGAGGAGTGAACTTATTCCACAATAAAATCACTTCTGCATCAGTGTGTGTATTACCAGCCCAGACTCTGAGGAGCAGAGGGACGGGGCTCTTGTTAGTGCCCAGAGTCAGAACTAAACATGGGGAGGCTGCATTTCAGATTTATGCTGCTAAAATCTGGAACAATCTTCCTGAAGATGTGAAACAGGCCTTCTCTCTGACAATGTTTAAAACAAGGTTGAAAACAGTTCTATTTAGCTGTGCATACAACTGAGGGGTTTTATATTTTATATTTTTATCTTTCTTTTTAATGTATTTAATGTGATTTTTTTATGATTTTAATGCTATCTTGTTTTGTTCAGCACTTTGAATTGCCTTGTGTATGAATTGTGCTCTGTGGGCCCACCACCTGCAGAGGGGTCCGTGGTGGTCAGGTGCAGAGAGGACTGGGCATCAGTCGAAGGCGGAGACCTCGGCGACCCAGTCCGCACACACAACATCTGGCTCTTGGGACGTGGAACGTTACCTCACTGGGGGGGAAGGAGCCCAAGCTCGTGGGGAGGTTGAGCAATACTGACTAGAGATAGTCGGCCTCACCTCAACACACAGCTTGGGCTCTGGAACCCAACTCCTTGAGAGGGGTTGGACGCTCCACTTTTCTGGTGTTGCCGCCGCCGTGTTGGAGTTCTCCCCGGTGAATGAGAGGGTCGCGTCCCTCCGCCTTTGGGTGGGGGACAAGTCTCTCACTGTTGTGACGGCCTACGGGCCTAACAGCAGTGCAGAGTACCCGGCCTTCTTGGAGTCCTTGGGGGGTGTACCGGACGGTGCACCACCCGGGGACCCCGTTATTCTCCTGGGGGACTTCAACGCCCATGTGGGAAATGCCAGTGACACTTGGAGAGGGGTGATTGGGAAGAACGGCCCCCCTGATCTGAACCCGAGTGGTGTTCAGTTGTTGGACTTCTGTGTTAGTCACAGTTTGTACATCACGAACACCATGTTGGAGCACAAGGGTGTCCACCAGTGCACGTGGCACCAGGACACCTTAGGCCGGAGGTCGATGATCAACTTTGTTGTGTATCATCTGACCTTTGACCGCATGTCTCGGGTGAAAAGAGGGGCGGAGCTGTCAACCGATCACCACCTGGTCGTGAGTTGGATCCGCTGGCAGGGGAGGAAGCTGGTCAGACCTGGCAGACCCAAGCGTGTAGTGAGGGTTTGCTGAGAACGTCTTGCTGAGCCCCCTGTCAGACCCGGTGGTCAAATCTCGGATCCAGGAGGAGCAGTGTGGTTCTCGTCCTGGTCGCGGAACACTGGACCAGCTCTATACTCTCCATCGGATACTCGAGGGTTCATGGGAGTTCCCTCCCTCCCCTATGGTCATGAGCTTTGGGTAATGACCAGAGTTAATGCTCAATAATTGATAAGATAAGATTATATTTTCAATGATAGAATGTGCGAGCAATTTCATCTATTTTCTTCAGTTATACGGGACCAGAAGTAAAAAATAATGGTTCTTTTTATTCGTTTCATGAAAATGCATAATTTAATACAAGTTTCAAATCATTCAAACAAATCATTCAATCATTTCCATGATCAGAAAGGAGCAGATAGAAGAATATTATTCTTATATAATTCTGCCCCCTCTTTTACAAAACAAAATCATATGGTTTTGCTGCTGATTCCTCTGCCTTCTTTATAAACACATATAAGCACATACAATATATATATATATATATACATACATACATACATACACACATACATATATACACATACATACATATACATACCCGCACATACATTTCATAATAAACATAACACGTAATTAAACATCACTTTTGTAGATTTGGATTTGTTTCCTCTTGTAAGTCTGTTTGAATTCTAAAATGGTTTTACAACTTTGTAAGTCTTTTTCTTGAGAATTCCACAATTTTACTCCAACAACAGATAAACTCATCTGTTTTAAAGTTGTTCGTGCTATTGGATGTTTGAAGTCATATCTCCTTCTATGATTTTGTTTTTCTGAAGTAAACACAAATAACTGTTGTAACTCTTCTGGAAGAGCTCTGTGACTGGCTTTAAACATGATCAATAAAGTTTGTAACTCTACTATATCCTTAAACTTAATCAGTCCTGATCTAATGAAAAGGGGATTAGTGTGATCTCTAAATCCAGCTTTATAAACAATTCGAATGGCTCTTTTCTGTAATAGAACTAAAGGCTGTATGTTGGTGCTGTAAGTATTACCCCATATTTCTACACAGTAATTAAAATAAGGAAGTACCATTGAGCAATATAACATTCTCAAAGTGTTACATGGTAACAAATATTTTGATTTATTCAATATAAATAAACTTTTAGATACCTTATTTTTTACATGCATTATATGTGATTTCCAAGTTAGTTTGTCATCCAAGATCACTCCAAGAAATCTAATTTCCGACACTTTCTCAATATTTACATCATTAATAGATATTCTAACTTCCGGTTTTATTTTATTGCCAAATATCATAAACTTTGTTTTTGTCAAATTTAAGGATAATTTATTTACATTAAACCACAAATTTAGTTTAACTAATTCCAGTTTAACCTCCTCAGCTAAACATTTTAAATCATCTCCTGAGCAAAAGAAGTTTGTATCATCTGCAAATAATACATGCTGAAAAATGTTTGAGACCTCACAGATATCGTTTATATATAAAATAAATAATTTGGGTCCTAAGTTTGAGCAGTTAGATTGGAGATAAAATATGGACAGAATGCGCTTGAAATCTATTTAATCCATTGAAATCGTTATTCGTTAATCGTTATTTATCAAGAGAAGCCCCTTTGGAGAGACCACTCCCCTCGACATGGTGGCTGAGTTTTGCGTTACACAGAGCAGGTGATACTATCTGAACAACAGGGGAATTAAACGTTGGTGCTTGCTGCCTGATTTGTATGCACTGTACTTCTGTAATAAGAGACTGCTGCTTTTAATTGAGACGCTGAGGAAGAGAGCGGCTATGCACTAATAAACAGGTAATTATGCAACTCCCAGCTCCGCTAAGGCACATTGTGAATCCATTATGGACACTGGGAAAAACACACACACACACACTATTTTCTATCTTATAAGGCATGTAGATTTGTGTTAAACTTAGAACAATCAACTATCAATCACCCTTAACCTCTGGGGTCACGGGGGGTGGGCGAGGAATGAGGTGGGACAGCGACCAAGATTAACACAGCGACAAAATGTATCCCTATGTGTCAGCTAATCCATTTATTTATGCAGCGCTGTCCCGTGTCAGGCAGATAAGTCGCTCCCACAGCTTCCAAGGAGGGGAGGAGATAGAGGAGCTGGGGCTAAGGCTAAAGCAGGCTCAGCGTTTGTTTGAAGAAACACAACTCAATGATTATTAAAGAGCAAGCAATGTATTATTCATGTATGTATTTGTTTATTTATTTGACAGGGACAATGCATTCATATGTAGTTACAGCAAAAGATGCAACTGATAGAGTTAGAGTTCGAGTTATTGTTCAGGGGGCGACAGCAGCTCAGTTGGTAGAGCATTGGCCTTTGAGCCAGAGGGTCGTGGGTTTGAGTCCGACTTTCACCATCGACTCTCACTGTCTGCTGTCGTTGTGTCCTTGGTAAGACACTTAACCTCTGGGAACACCAGCCACAGTGGGGCGGCTGCGGCTGTAAAGTGCCAAACTGCCGTTGTGTCCTTAGGCAAGACACTTCACCCACATTGCCTGGAATGAGTTTGGTGTGTGTGTGAATGGTTGGTGGTGGTCGGAGGGGCCGATGGCACATACTGGTTGCCTCGCTTCTGTCAGTGAGCCCCAGGGCAGCTGTGGCTACAGTAGTAGTTTATCACCACCATGTATGGAGTGAAAGAATAATGACATGTAGGGCGTCTTTGAGTGTCCAAAAAAGCGCTATAAAAAAACGATGCATTATTATTATTAATATTATTTATCTTGTCCTGTGTGCTCCTCATTCCTATTATTCTGTAACCGATGACACAAACACTGAAATTCCCCCACTGTGGCACGAATAAAGGATCTCTTAATCTTTATTTTTAACTTAATCTTAAACTGATGCGACACATACAGATACGCACACACCTTTGCATTTGAGATGGGATGAGTTTTGATTTTTCAAACATATTATTATATAAAAAGAGACTTGTGAATTGGGTGACAGCTCTCATTTCTGACCCCTGGATGAGGGAATGAAAATGGATAGATGGATGGAAACAGAGACTTTATTAAACATAAAAAACAATGGCAGTCTTGTTTAATACCTCTTCCTCACCAAACAAAAATGTCATCTTAATACAACAACCCACACAGTGCAAACTCAAAAATCCATGAATTGTTTAGAAAAAGATAATTAGTTCTTTGTTGAAGGGGGCAGAACAGTCAGTCACAAAGAATGCAATTTAACCAGAAAACGCACTTGTTCACCCACTCTCCTTCACTCATTCCCAGTAGTCTGAAATGGGCAACAATACAATTCCAAAACAATACGATCTTCTGAGAGTCTATTGTTTAAATATTTGATTCAATACATCACTTCCCAAAATTGTGGTTCGTTATTATATTCTTTTGTGGTTACTTGGTTACTTTTTGTCTTGTGAATACACAGTCTTGCAAATACCCAGTTAATAATGCTGATACTAATGTCAAATAATGATAAATCAGAATCCTCCTACATACATTCTCCTAACAATGCAAAATTTCACATAATAAATGTAGCTTTTTCTAAAATCTGGGGAGATATGATCAACAAAAAATGGTTAGGAGCTGATGGCCATAAATATACATGCTTCAGGTTACTATCTGCAAAGATGCTTCATACTCATGATACACGGAAACAAAGTCATATAAGAAAAGTATTTTAAATGCGAATGAGCAGAGGTTGGACAACTCAGTTTTGCTCCCATTGAAAACCATGTAAATCTTGTCTGTTTTGGAGTCAAAAGGCTCTCATCCTGTGCGGTGTACGGTTGTTGTAACAGTCTTAATTGGGAGGGGGACACTTAATTCTAAGGGAGTACTAAAACATATTTATCAAAAGTGTCTTGATTTTGGGCATTTTTGGAAAAAACAGAAGAAATTGCTGCGTTTCATTCGGGTGGCCTGCAGGGGGCGCTTATCTGGGAAAGTCTTGATCCACCTCGCCCGCCTCATTAGAGTTTTTTTCAAAATGTACTCCTTTTTATGAGACCACAGTTGGAGCACGGAAGAAACGCTAGTCTTTCTCTCTATTTGCGGGGTTGCTACAAGCATACACCGCACACCGCTCTCCGGCAGACTGCACCGCCAGGGTACGTCACCTCCTGTCCTACGTTTGTTATTAGCGCCACTGCCCTGACGTCATATGAAACCCAAGAATAGGTATTTCTATAAGGGGATGTGTGTTTGTGCGGGTATGCATGTGAGTGAGATCTTATTTTTACCTGATTTTCTCCAACCCTACTTGGCCCTACTCTACTAGCGAAGGGTCTCTTTACAAAACATGTATGTACAGAGATAAATGGTTCAATGGATTTGGTTCTTTAAGTTAAAAAAAAAAAAAAAAAACTTGATATTTGCATTCTGGTGTGGGAACACTGACTACATAAGACCATTTCCCGAGTTGCAGAATCAGCAAATTCTAATAAAACATGCAGTCGCTAAGAATTCAAACTGCATAACTTTTGAATGCAAAGTTAACAGAATAACAAGTACGTTCATATCCCCAATGTTAACTCCCACGCCAGTTTTTATTTGAATATGTAAACCTGTCTTACCTTGTGTGGCTATGTAGTGGTTTGGCCTGTGGTACCCCTGAAAAGAGACAAAACAATGATGTTTAAAAATCGTTTAAAATACATCTGCTTAAGACAAGTATTCTCACGGTAAAATTATTTGCGTTCTGACCCCCTCCACGTCTTCATGCTTCTCCATCCAACAATGCGCTCGACAGATTTTCTCCATGTACTCAGGGCCATTTGAACAGCTGCTACGTTAAGGAAGACGCGTTGTTTGGGTGGAATTATTGAACACTAGATGCTTAGGTAAGAGCGTGTTTTTGAGTAATGCCACTGTGCCATATGTTAGTGTTTTCATGGGTTTCAGAATGATGAGAAATGAGGACTGTCGCCGTAGTGATTAATGCTATCAAGTATTTTCTCTTATGAATGCACGTTGCATAAAACAGGACGCTGAACAGAGTCGACGTGCAGAGTCTTACAGGGAGCATTTTTGTTATAATTGACGTTTTGAGCTTGTCCTTTGCATATGCATCAAATGCATATGTTTCTTTATGTTCACAACAGGATGTATGGCACAAATTCCCTCACCTTCACAGAATGCAAACAACACAGATCCGTAATGAACCAGCCGTACCCTTGTTCAAATAACTTGTATTGTAACTGCAATCACTATAATTGTAGGAATGGACAATGCTAACCGACGAGCTCTAGGAAGCCCAAGGAAACTCTTATGGGTGACATCTCCTACCCGCTTTGGCTCCGATCACATTGAAAAGCAACTTGAGCTCTCTCAGTTTGCGTCACACTCACAATTTCGGGCCTCAAAATCCGTGGTTCAGTAATCCTGATCTTAGTGTTTACATTTTATAACCTCTTTGGAAATCAGCAGTAAAAACAAAACAACCAGGAGCTTTCGGTCTCAGAATTTAGCTAAAGTATTTCAGCAGGTACAGACCAGTGCCACTTCTGATTGGGTCTTTGGTTGGTAGGTCATTGCCATCACTGAATTTGTTCGCAACAGCTGTAATCGGCTTCTTCCGTATTGTCAATGTCAATGCCAATGTCAATTTTATTTGTATAGCACATATACAACAACACCAGCAAGTGCTTCACAGGGCACAAAAGATAAAAATAACAAAACAACATGAAATACACACACATACATGTAAAAAATAAAATGGTAAAAACTCATTTGGGCAAACGCATGTACGATAATTTCACTCCTACAGCCTTGGTCACTATATGACGCTTCGGCTGAGAGCCGATTGGCTTCTGCAGAAAAATCTATTCTTTGGTTGTGCAATAGAGCAGCGTTTTTCAACCAGTGCGCCTAATTAATAGTTGTGTCAGAAGATTAGAAAGAGTTTTTTGCACTTGTTTGATATTTTAAATAGTACACTTTGGTGATAATGCTTTGAATTGCAAAGGCTGCAGAGTTTCATTTTTGCCTCAGTTTCTGCTGGTGGTGTGCCGATTGTTTTCAATTAAGGGTTTGCAACAGCTCAAAAAGATTGGGGAACACGGCTATTGTATGCAATTCATTTACGTGAATAGAAAAGATATTCTAAAGTATCCAAACAGTTGATGGGTATACAACTTCAGGTCCATCTTGTTGTATGTTGGTTTTTTGCCTGTAATTCAATTATGCTTCACAACGTGAGCTCCTCTTATAGACCTACTTATACTTTTATCTCCAGTTGCACCTGTCTATACAAGCCTCATTGTTATATGTCCTTCACAGATGTTCAGATTCATGGATTAAGCATTACATCTTTGCCAACAGACTATGGAGAGAAAGCATCTATGTCGCTTTTGTCACGTCTACAGTTTTACATGGACAAATGTGGTTATTGATTCAGCTCTAAAGCTGTAAGACTCCCTATCCTGCCTTTCCCCCACTCTATATGCAGCGCACCTTTAGAGCGAGCTGCCAAAGTGCTGATAATCCTCCAGACATACACCTAACACGGATTTACCATAATCCCTCCCAGTTCTATTTGTCCAACTCCTAAGATATGATGCAAGCAAAAAGCACAAAACACCCCTCCCTTTTGCTTATCTCTCATATTCAATTTAGCTTGCGTGGTGATTAACGTTTTTTCCATTGAAGCCGAGCGGGAGACACAAAAGGAAACGGCGCGCGCTCTCTTCCCCCTTCGCTATTCAACTGTCCCTCCATTTTAATGACTTCTTTATCTCAGTGCAGAGAAAGATGTGTTTGCGCTTTCATGTGAGCGTCGTCAAGAAAAGGGGAGACGTTGTTGGACTAGCCGGGAGAATGAAGGCCTCTTATACGGTCTGTTAGGTGAGGTGAGGGGCACTTGGTAAGGACAAATGTAAGGTTGGAATCTATAACACCCGTGGGCTTTGTATCAGCTTTGTTTCACTTTTATGTTGGTAAAGTTGATGACAGAATTGAATAAGTTCTACGATTGACCAGGCTCTTTGGTTTGGAAAATGGCCTAAATTTAACTAATAATAATCTGCCATATTCAACCCAGCCCGTTGCGGTTCCTAACCTTAACAATAAGGCTGTGATTCTTAAATGCATATTTGAATAATTAATGTCAACAAAACATAAATATTTACTATTTCGGTCCAAAACTAATACTATAACAGGGCACTTTTCAATCCCATACAATAATTGTCTGATTTCTAGAGTTGACCAATGAAAGACATGGCACATAAGCGGTGCACAGTTTTTAGTTCGAAGAACATGGGCCCAGGAACCATTTCAAATCTGATAATCTGATATTGTCTGTGCATGAGTAGCTCTCCCCATATACCTTTCCTCTTCTTTCCCATTTTCCCTTGTTTCTCTCCCAAATGGACTGACTAAGTACATGGGCGCTTGTTCTGTACAGCCTTTAATGCACTTAGAGACACTTGACTTGCGGTAAAATCCGATTGTAACCGCACTTTTCTGCTCAATCGTGCTTGTGAACGCCACACCTTGCATCCTTGCCTAATCTCATATTCACTGGACCTTGCAACCAAAACCACGAATCTTATGCATTACTTCTACTTCCTGCCTCACGAAGCCACTTTCAACCATGTCTAAAACACCCACTTAAACCGCACATGCAACGCTTGAAGCTGTTCAAATCTATACCACTGTTCTCACACCATAGAAGCAGTTTGTTAGTAAGTTGTGACCAAATTCCTTCTCCATCTCCATGTGTAATGCTTTGTTCTGGTACCTGTCCGTGCTAAGTGATTTCTCCCCCTCTTCCTCCCTTTAATGCGGTAATTTGTAATGTCTAGTTACGCCTCTCAGACATAAATTTGTAATGCAAAGGTGCGCCACAGCAAATGCAGAAGGCCTAAATTATTTACTTTTCTTCTCACTCTCCAGTTTATGGTCCATTATGTTGCAGAGAGGGGCGAGCGCTTCACGACGCAGAGGAAGGCCATTATAAGAAGAGAATAAATGCATATTAAAGACACCGCTGATTGAAAAGGATTTGGAAAAGTGCCCGGGCAGACACGTAATGATGTTGTAGCTTCTCAGAAAAGCGGTTTTAACTCGTCGCAAAAGCTTGTCCAGACTGATAAACTCAAATGTGAGGTGCATTTCCCATCGAGTTTGTTATTGTAGCCTATTATGTTGTCGTTATGCGGAGCTGGGCGCGTATGTTTCACTTCTGATTGACTATTTTCATAACAATTAGGAGAAAAGAGATGCTGTTTGTTGGAGAAAAGAGTGAAGGGTTATTGTATGAGAGAGAGGGAGGGATCCAGCATGGAAGTGGAAGATATAAAAAAGGACTTAAAGGTTTGGTTACCAAATCAATGTGATAAAATCCATCCATCCATATTCACAGATGGAACATGTATTTTTATTTTTACCTCTGTCACGTCTTTAGATCAGCTTTTTCATGCATCAAATAGGGGCTCATAAGGCTAATAATTCTAACAAGTTTGCACTATGTTAACTTTTCTTCTAGTTAGAGGACTTAAACCTACAAACAAACTGGTGAAAATGACAACATTAATCCATTTCTGGGTCAGGGTGGTGTCAGTCAGAGCTGCACCCAATTCACATACCCTCCTGAGACCCGAGCATTTGTCTGGTGTGCATTTTATATATTTTTTTGCTATTTAGGATAAGTAGGACCCAATAAGTATAATACCTAAATTGTGATTTTGTACAGGAAGTAGTTTTTGAGAAAAAACATGTCCTCGTATGAGGACAGTGGGTCTCTCATAACCTAAAGAGAAAATGTATGATCTTTTAGGCCGGAAGGTCCTAATTAGTTGAAATTCAAAATTTCAGCTTGATCCAATTAGTACTTCTCTCAAAAATCAATGTCCTCACATGAGGACAGTGGGTCGACCTTACTATACAATACAAATAGACTCCATTGGTCTAAAATAGTATATAACAGTTTATTTGAAAAATGTAAACATCAAAGTTAGACATAAAATCCAAACAGCTCTATCTTCAAAGCCTAAAAATGTCATGGTGTGGACATTTTGACCTGGTTGAGTTTGAATCCTGCCTGTCCTGTTGATTGTTGCCCCGCCCTAATGTGATTCACCTGTGTGTCCCTGTGTGTCCCTGTGTGTGTGTATATACCCTGTGCCCTTCCTCACTTGTTGTCCGTCCATTGTCTCCACAATGTTTGTCCTGTCTTCAGTTCTGTTTTTACATTACCTTGGATTTATTTTATTAAATTACTTTGATTTTCAGTCCTGCAATTTGGGTTCCCTTTTTCTTCATTCATCCACATGACAAAAAATTGGCTATACATAAATAAAACCGCAAAATACTGTGTAAACTGTCTATTTCAAGCCTTCAATATGGCTGAATTGAATTGATAAATACAATACTAGAACAAATAATGGCAAATATTATTAACAGTCCTAAAACAGTAAAATTCTGCTGAACAGCTTATGAACCGGGGCTTTTTTCAAACTAGCTCCCTCTCTTTTTCTAGAAAGCAATCTGTCTGCCTGTTTGGAAGAGCCCTATTGGCAAGTGTGAAATGCTGCAAAGCAGTTGCATTCACTTTGCAAGCACAGGTACACATTGCATGTCATGCATCGGACACAGGATTTTCCAATGCAGTC